AGAAGGCATGAAACCCGATCCACAAAAGGTCGAAGCAATAAAGAATGCCAACCCACCACAGAGCGCAAGTGAAGTGAAATCCTTCCTTGGAATGGCTCAATATGTTTCCAGATACATACAGAACTACGCTGACATCACAGCGCCTCTACGCAATCTTACAAAGCAAGAGATAGCCTGGAAATGGGGAGATGAAGAGCAACAAGCCCTCGACAAGATCAAACTAGCCCTCACTGGCAACGAAGTAATGTCCTACTTTGACCCTGACAAGAAAACCGAAGTCATCGTCGATGCAAGCCCTATCGGACTCGGAGCTATCCTGCTACAGGAGGACAAAGTTATCAGCTACGCAAGTAGAACACTGAGTGATCCCGAGACACGATACTCTCAAACTGAAAGAGAAATGCTTGCTGCAGTCTGGGGATTAGAGAAATTCCATCTATACGTGTATGGTTCAACATTCGACATCGTCACCGACCATAAACCTCTACTAGGCATATTCCCAAGCCATAAAGCAGCCTCAGCTCGAATTGAAAGATGGAAACTTCGACTTGCTCCATACAATTGTAATCTTGTTTACAGACCAGGGAGAGACGACAAGAATCCCGCTGACTTCCTAAGCAGGCACCCAAACACGAAGGAGCCGGATGATGACCATATCGCAGAAGATTATGTCAATTACGTTTGCAGAAACGCCATTCCAAAGGCAATGACATTACAAGAAGTCAAAGTAGAGACCAAGATAGACACAACCATGCAGGCTTTGGCTCGAGCCATAGAAAACGAAAACTGGTCAGATCCTGCAGTACAAGAGTACAAAAATCTCAAGGAAGAACTGTCCATTTACAACGGAATCATTCTCAGAGGAAACAGAATTGTGRTCCCAAGCTCACTTCAAGCAAAAGCAGTTGATCTCGCACATATCGGACATCAAGGGATCGTCAAGACTAAAGGACTGATACGAGAAAAGGTATGGTTCCCAGGAATTGATAGAATGGTTGAGACCAAAGTAAGAAACTGTCTAGCCTGTCAAGCTACAACAAAAGGAAAGGTAACACCGGAGCCAACCAGGCCAACAAAACTACCAAGAGCACCTTGGAAAGAGGTCGCAATCGACTTTTGCGGACCATTCCCTTCAGGAGAATATCTAATGGTAGCCATAGATGAGTACAGTCGCTTCCCGGAAGTTGAAATACTGACATCTACCTCAGCAAGAGTAGTTATTCCCAAGCTTGATGCAGTTTTTTCCAGACAAGGAATTCCGGATGTTGTCAAAAGTGATAACGGCCCTCCATTTAACGGCGCAGAGTTTAAAGCCTATGCAGAAAACTCTGGATTCCATCACAGAAAAGTCACACCCTGCTGGCCAAGAGCTAATGGAGAAGCTGAACGATTTATGAAAACACTTGAGAAGTGCATCAGATCTGCTCATGTAGAGAGAAAGAATTGGAAACAGSAGATGTACAGATTTCTTCGTCAATACCGAGCTACGCCGCACTCTTCAACCTACACCTCACCTAGTGAAGCGCTCAATCAGAGAAAGCTAAGGACTGAACTTCCTCAAATTACATCAACGATCATGCCAACAAGCAAGCTACAACAGAAGGATGCACAATCCAAATTCAAGATGACTGAGTACGCAGATAAAAGAACACAYGCAAAGGAGAATGCTGTAAAGCCGGGAGACACAGTGCTAGTACGCCAACCCAAACGAAACAAGTTGAGCACACCTTACAACCCAACACCGTTCATCGTGGAAGAAAGAAAAGGGACGATGATAACGGCATCCAACGACAACAAATCAATAACAAGAAACTCATCACAGTTCAAATTAATACCAAGTCATCTTGCACAGTACCAGCCCAATGACGAAGACGACGACTCCATCACTGGATCACCGGAAATGACGCAGCAAGAAGATAGCGCCCCTACGAGACCACCAACACCTGTGCAGAGACGTTCCAGCAGTCGTCAAGTGAGACCACCTGTCAGATTCTCAGACTATATCGTCTACAAGTGAACTCTAAGTGAACTCTAAGTGAATATTAAGCACTGAGACGACGCAAGAACATTGTTGACATTTATTACTAATTACTAACGAAACACGTTCATGGGGATGATTAGTTGTTTAATTCAGAGAGCATTGATTTAAGAGGATGTAAGCTTTTTCCACGTAGAGAGGGATGTAATGTAGTTACGTCACTGATTATAAGTTATGATTATGTATGTACATAAATTAAGGACATAAATAAATGCACGAGGAGATACAACA